GACTGGGATTCGATGGATCGCACAATTCATGGATACATAAAAACAATGTGATTTGATACAATTTTGATTCATGTATTTTTTTATTCTACATATAAAAATTATTATATATCTACATAAGGATATAAACGTGTAAAATATTTTTTATTATCCCTTCCATCTTCGTTTTGGAGTATACAGATATAAAATACTTATAAATGTACGATACATAAAATGAAAAATAATAGTAATACATAATAAATGATATTACATATAACGCGTAATAGTAAGACTTATATAAAGTACTTATAAATGTACGATACATGAAATGAAAATAATAGTAATACATAATAAATGGTATTATATTAAATATAATAGTATGACTTATATAAATGTAAAAAAAACACATGCATGACGAAATTATAATGATAATAATACATAATAGTAATACATATTCACTATATGAAAATAAAAAATAAAAAATGTAGGAAAACATATACAAATTACGATAATATATAAGAAAATGGTTGATACACGAATTGAAAATAATAATACATAATAAATGGTACTACATAAAACATAAAATAGTAATACTTATATAAACGTAAAAAACATACATGACGTGTAAAATTATAATAATACTACATAATAGTATAACAAAAATGTCAATGCATATGTTACAAGGCCATATCCGCCAATGTCCCCATGGTAACGTCTCCGTCGTGTTCGGTATGACGTATCGTTTGTCGTCGTATGGACTCAGAGCGATTTTCGTCTCGGATATCGTGTATACCTCGTGTAATTTTGATCGTATACACGACTGACGACGAGTCATTTCAATTTCATCGTTTAAACATCGGGTGTAATCGTCAAACGTTATCATTCGCGCTACAACGTTATTCTTTACGCCTTTCGCCTTTTTTGTGTCCTTTTTACCGTCGACCTTCAACGCGTACATCTTCGCTCTGAGTCCGACGAATTCTGTCATTATCATGCCGTGGTTCTCATCCTTCATCAGACCGGGTACTTTTTTATTCGCGAGAGACATACCGTACGCGTTGTCCGCCGGATAATCGCTCGTGTCGAATCTAGCGA